GTTCCTCCTCTTGCTGGGCAGCACGGAGCATGGAGCCCCCTCTCCCACCTCCCCGCGAGCAGCTCCAGCATGCCCTGGCCGACCTGCGGGTCCCGGTGGCCCCCGGGGATCTGCAGCATCAATTATTTCTCTAATCTTATCTCGCTGTCTCTCTCTCACTTTCTCTTGTGTGCCTTTCTCTCCCTGCCTTCCCCTCCCTCCGCTGTACTTTGTACCCTCCCTCCAGCCCTGCTTCCCCCCCTCCAGCCCTCTCTTTGATCCTAGGAAGAAGCAATTGATCCTTCTTATCTTTATTGTGGTAGAGACATTCCCAGCACTGCCCTTAATTAAATTCCTTTTCATTTGCTTCCCTACGCCTTTCTTTCCCCCAACCCCAGAAATGGATTTATTATTAAATGCGCAATTAAATCCTCAGATTGGCCAGGAGCCTAAGAGGGGCCGGATCCTGCGGGGCTGTGCCCAGCACCACGGCGCTCAATGGGGCACGGTCCCGGTGCTTTCCCCGTGCTCTCCATCCCCAGGCACCGGCTGCTGGGTCTGCATCACCTCCAGAGCTCGGTGTCACCGGGAGCTGCCCCGTGGCGAGCCCGACGGGTGCCAAAATGACTTTTGGGCAGCCCGCAGGTGATGTGCAGCCGGGCCCCAGCCTCCAGCCAAGGGCAGCAGCTCTGGGAGGGCGAAAGTGGCAGCCTGCAGGGTGACGGCAGCGCCTGGAGGGGATTTGCTCACCCCTCTGCCTTGCCCTAGAGCCCGAGGACAGATTGCAACAGGCTGAAAGCAGCCGGTTCCCGGCACGGCACCAAGGTTACGGCGTGGGCAGGCGGCACCGGAGCTCAGCTCCCACCGGGGCTGCCTGCCCGCCGCCCCCGCCGGCGGCTGCATGAGCTCACGGTGAGATTTGGGGCTCACAGGTTGAGGTTTTAACTGCGGTGACTCAGAGGAAATGGGGCTTTGCTGAGCGCTTTTGGCTCCCGGTGCCAGCAGCGGATCCCTCCCCGCCGCTGCCCCATTCCCCTCGCTCCCTGCCCGCTGCCCCCCAGCACGGGACGGGCACCCCGATGCACTGGGGACGCTTGAAAAATAAATCCCCGAGTGGGCGGCAGGGGAGGAATGTGGGCTGAGCAGCGAGCCCCCTGCAGCCCCCGGCCTTTGTGGCTTTTTTTTTTGATGTTTGGTCCCCTCGCCGCCCGCGCAGGTGCGAGCGATAGATCAGGGCGGCGGAGAAGAAAGAGAGAGGAAGCCCGCAAACTTCACAGGCTGGGAATTCAAAGCTTTTATGGTTATTGTCCCCTTTCCCCGGCTGCGGGAAAGCCGAGAGGGGGCCGCAGGTGGGAGAAGGAAGAAATCCCCCAGTGCTGAGCTGGGCGAGGGCAGCAGGATGGGAGCGAGGGCATCAGGACAGAGCCACAGGCAGCTGGGATCTCCCATTCCTGAAGCCTTGGTGGGTGCTGGCCACGGTGGCAGTGTCACCAGCCGTGCCACTGGTGTCACTGGCCACCAACACCAGGATGAGACCCGAGCGCCCCAGCCCGCCGCCGGTGGCTCCCCTGCGCCCCGCTTGAAGCCTTTCCGCTCGGAAATTTTTCCTCCAGACACTTTGACCTCGGGGGGAAGGAGGCGGGGGGCAGCGAGTATTTTTCATGTAGATCAGGCGAAATTCCCCCGGAGACAGCGCAGGAATGCGAGGCATGTTATCCTTGGTACCAGCTCTTTCTTTTTACAGCCTAAGCTTGGCCAAGCCAGCGGGCAGGGGGAGGGGACGTCTGGGGTCCCGCCGTCTTTCCCATTGCTGATTGCCAGCTGCCCCCGGCCCCCCTCCTCCTCCTTTTTCTTCTCCTCCTCCTCGGGAGGAAGGCTCCTGAGGCAGGCAGAGCCACCGAGTCCCCCTGTGCTGGGGTGACACAAGTCGGGGTGAGGCAATGCCAGCAGCATCCCGAAACACAGGGCGAGCGCCTCGGGTGCTCGGCAGGTCCCAGCACGAGGGAGCAGCCTCCGGTGCAGTTTCGGGCACTCCTTGGGCACGCAGAGAAGCACCCGGAGCAACGGGGATCTCGTGGGGACCTTTGGGAGCTCCATAATACTTGAAATTGTCCAATACTTGATTTTATTCTCCAAGGTTTGTGCGGCTGGAAACCTGGCGAGAGAAATCAGCGCCTCATCTGTCTCCATTAAGTGCCATTACCCCTTGGATCCCCAAACAATTTCGTGCCATTGCCTCTTGCCATCTCGCTGTGCTGACCACAGGAGGCAGAGCGCAGCACCAAGCCCTGCCCGAGCACCCACACCGCGGGGCCGAGCACCCCAGGGTGCCTTTGGGTGGCACGGGCAGCACGAGGGCTGCAAATCAACCCCAAGTGGGGAGCAGAGGGGAAGGCTGCAGCCCAAGGAAGGAGCTGCTCCAGGTGGAGGGGAGGACGCCTTGGCTCCGCTGCGGTGCTCGCCCCATGGGGTCCCTGTTTTTGGCAGCTCGGGCTCAGCTGGGCCCCCGCTGCCCCCTCCTCCCAGCCTCAGAGCAGCCTGGGAGCCCAGCTGCAGCTATTACATAAAACGCAATTAGCAAGGCGGGCGAGGGAGGCCTGAATGGCATTAAGGAATTCCTCCCGGGCTGACGTCAAAGCTTCACCTCTCCTCCCGCCGGCACAAAGGGGGCCGTTATGAGCCCAGCCCCAATGCCCGCTCGGAGAATGCGATTCCCCGGGGAGCTGCGGGCTGCACATCGCCCTGGGCATCGTCCCTGTGACTGGCACCGATGTCACCAGCAGTGCCTGGCTCCTGCGCAGCATTTCCTGGGCAGGGGAAGGTGCCAGCATGCCCCGGGGGCCAGCAAAGCGGGGATTTGGCCAGCATCCAAAGGTGGAGGACGGGGGGATGCTGAGGGGGCAGCGGGGATGTCCCAGCCCCTGGGTCCTGCTGCTCCCTGAAGGGGGTGGTGTGGAAGTGGGGAGCAGCCCAGGCAGCTGGGGCTGGGATGTCTCAGAGGTCCTGAAATTCCCCCGGGGACAGTGGGGGCAGAAAGCAGCAGGGAGGACCTGCTGGAGTTTGGGGACAGGGAGGTGACGGCCCTGGAGAGTTTGTGGCTTTGCTCCGTGCCACTTTGGCCGAGCACACGGCTGGTGCCAGGCAGTGAGAGGTGATGGGGATGACGCTGGCTCTGTCCCAGTTCCCTGCTGGCCCCAGCAAGTGCCCAGAGATGGTTCCTAGAAGCCCCCAGCTCACCCCAAACCACACAGCAGCCTGCTGGGGGGGCTTTTCTCCAGGCCAGCGGCCGCACCCTCGGTGATAGCACCCATCCAGTGGGTGCCTTCCCCTGGGAGCTGTGGGCATACCCTGTTTGGACCCCACTTTGCAGGTTCAGCTGCTGCCGAGCTCTCGGGAGGTGGCCACATCCAGGACACGGCACCGCGATGCCCCAAGTTGGCCCAGGCTCCACCAGTGCCAGCCAAGGTGAGGGGACGCAGCTCCTACCCCTAAAACCTCATCCACTTGGCCCTGCTGCGGGCAGGAAGGGCTTAACGGGCTAATTTGGGTGCGGTTCCATCCCCCCCAGCCCCAGCACCCTTGGGTGGGTGCCCTCCCAATGCGTCCCCCCCCCCTCCAGCCTCCGGTCTCTCAGCGGCTGCCGGGGGCCCCCCTGTGGCTGCAGCCCCCGGAGCCCCCCCAGGGCCCTGAGCAGAGCCCCTGGGGGGGGAGCGGGGAGGACAGGGGGCAGCGAGCATCCTGTGGGGGGCTGCGTCCCTCCAGGGTGCTGGGGCACAGCCACGCGGCCAAGGGAGCTGGGCTTGGAGAGCTCGGACCTGAAAAATTCAATTATTCACTTTTTTTTTGCCTTTTTTTTTTTTTTTTTTGCCTTTTTTTTCCAGGTAATTGGTGGTGCCCTGGTGCTGAGGCAACCCTGCTGGGGTGCAGCCGGGCTGGGTGCTGGGTACCACTGCCCGTGTGGGATGGGATGGGATGGGATGGGATGGGGTAGGAGCCAGGAAAACGCACCAGGTGGGCGCAGGGCACGGGAGAAAAAATGCATGGGAATGGGGAGCGGGGGGCAAAAGCCTGGGGGCTGCTAAAACACCTGGAAGGCACCAAGGGGAAGTGAATGGGGACAGCCCGAGCTGGTGGCGGATCAGAGAAGCGATGCCCTTTTGCAGCGGGGTTTTTTGGGGAAGATAACGCCTCCTCCCCACCTCCACCTCTCGTTTACGCTGCTTCCCCCTGCCCTGCTCCCTGGTTGTGTCGCAAAGCCTGGGGCTGCAGGGACACTGAGGCACAGGTGGTGGCCTCCTGGGCTCCCTTCCAGCATCGCCCCCGAGCCGATGGCTCTGCAGGACCTGGGGAAGGGGCAGGCTGCCCAGCCCCGTGCCCACCAACAGCTCTGGCCAAGCCCAGGCTGCTCACATGAAGCCCACGGTGATGTGACCGCTCGCTCCAGCGAGGACGTGCCCAGGGTGTCCCCTGCAGGAGGTGTCTGCGTGCTCTCTGCATGTCCCCTGCCCGTGTGGGCTCTGTACCAAGCCCGTGCCACCCCTGGAAGCCCTTCCAGCAGGCACAGGGGATGCCTGGCAGCGGGGTTTATCCCCCAGCCACAGGCACCGTGGGACCCCCGCCACCCCACCGCTGCCTCCTCCCCGTTGTGTTTGCTCAGCTGCAGCTCAGCTCCAGTCGCCGTCTTCCCAGGTCAACAAAAGCAGCTGAACCCCAACCTGCTGCTGGGTTCAGAGCGTACCAGGCTTACCTCCCAGCACAGCTCTCCTCCAGCCTCGCTCCCCTCCCCTTCTCTCCTTGTGGCCGCACTGATCCAGGGCCCACCCGGTGGCCAAAACGCTCCCAGGGGTGCCGGCACCGGAGGGGATGCAGCCACCCCTGCCCCTTTTGGGGTGCCCCCCCAGCACCCCAACCGAGCAGGAAATGCTAAAGGCCAAATTCTCAGCTGAGGCAAACCGGTTCAGTGCCTCCGACCTCGGCGGAGTTGCACCCATTTGCACCAGAGGAGGATCTGACCGTGCGCGTAGCTTGTATCGCTCTCTGTATTTATATACGGGTGTGTGTGGAGATGTGGTACAGAAATATATATGTAGGAAATAATTTAAGAAACATCCGAGACAGCATGCTGTGCTCTTGTGTAGGGCTGGGGAGGCAGCTGCCCGCCTCCCCTGGCACTACCAGCTTTGATTCACAAATGGAAACAGAGTCTTGAATTAAATTAAAAACTGCACGCGCACGCACACGCACACACACACGACACGTTGCAGAGGCTGGAGGACTCAGAGGCGTGATGCTGGCAAGTCCAGGTGTCCCTGAAGAGATCAGATCGACTAAAGGCAAAGGGTGGGTGTGGGGGGGAAATAAATAAATGAAACCAGCAGAGGGGGTCTCACTCGTGCCAGTGCTGGTGCTGTCTCTGGTGGGGTCGGCAGGAGCTGCTCAGCCGCGCATGTCCCGCTGCGAGCTCACCGGGCTCAGCGACACTTGCCTTGGACCCATTTTCTCCTTCGCCACGTGCTTCGCTTCTGCTCCATCCCTGGACTTTTTACCACCTTGGTCTTTAAGGGCGAAAGGAAAAACCCAGCCCTGAGTAACCCCTTGAGCCAGGTTTGGTCCAGCTCGCTCCTTCCCGACAGCCCCGAAGCGGGCTCTGCAGACCTTCCCATGGGCTTTCAGACCAGAGTGACCTCAAAAAAACAGCCTAAAACCCCTAGAAAAAAAACAGGTAAACGACCAGTTTCTTCCCAAACTCCTCCTCGTTCCCCATCCTGCCCTCCCTGAGCATCCTGCGGGACCGACTCCACCATGCTCCGAGCCATGGCAGCCAGGCGCAGCAGGGGCCGGGAAAGCGACCGAACCGCGTGTGAAGAAACGACCCCAAGGCTCCAGACTGCTGCCATCCCCCCTTCCCCTCCCGTCCCACTCCTCCACGGGATACGGAAAGCCCCCGGGGCTGCAGCAGCGGGGCCGCGGATCAGCTGGGGAGCAGGACGTGCTCCAGAAAGTAGGTGATGGAGTCCCAGTGCTTCCAGAGGAAGAAGAGGAAGAGGACGAGCAGGGCGGTGCTGAGGATGCGCATGCGGGTCTTCATGAGCGGGGTGATGAAGTTGGCGATGGTGGAGACGAAGACGAGCAGCACGGCCATCAGGGCCAGGATGACATTGATGAATTTGCCCAGCAGCGCCCGGGCGTTGGCGTTCTCCACCCCTTCCAGCTGCACCACCTGCTGCTGCTGCTGCTGCAGCTCCAGCTTGGTCACCCGCGTCAGGCACGACTCCACCGCTTCCTGCAGGACGCAGCCGCGTTAGACCCGACCGGTGGCGACGAGGGATTTGGGGATTTGAGGATTTGGGGATCTGGGGGTTTGTCCCCACGCTCTGAGACTGCAAAGTTTTGCTTGCGCAGCTCCGGTACGTGCCCAACCTCATGGCGATGTGCTGGGGCACAGACAGGTATTTTGGGGACATGGCTTAGGTACCAGCTTCTTGCTGTGATGCTGTCCCAGCAAGGACCTCACCTGGAAGGTGCTGGCACAGAAAAAGGGCTGCCCCCTCCCCATGCCCTGTCCCCCCCTGGTGCCGCGGGTGGAGGGCGCAGCGTGGTGCTGAGCCCTGGCGCTGCCCTACCTGGATGTCCCGCGCCCTCTCGTAGGACTGGTAGGCCACCTTCTCCTCCATGCTCGCCAGCTCCTGCTTCAGGTTGGTCATTTCGTTCTGGTGCAGCTCGGTGAGGTCGTTCAGCTGCTCCTCCAGGCGCTCGTACCTGGGCATGGGGACAGAGGAGCTCTGGGGCGGGCAGGACCCCAAAAAACCCCCCTCCTCCTTCCCCCTAATGCTGGGAAAACCGTTCTGGTTTTCCAGGAAGGGGCCTCGTGGTCCCCAAAAGAGCCACCCCGGGTGATGCACATCGCCACCCCACCCCCCCTGGTCCTACCTGTAGCGCTCCTCCTGCAAGCACTGAGTCATGTAGGTGTAATCCCGCTGCAGCTGCGCCTTGAGGTCCTCCATGGAGTCCTCCAGGTGCGACTGGCTGTCCTTGATCTCCCGGAGCTCCTCCAGGATGGTGTCGAAGTTGTTGTGGTGGCTGTCCAGAGTGTTGGATTTGGGGCTCCCCAAACCCCCGGGCCCTGCCCCGGAGTTGCTGCCGCCGGCAGAGCCCGAGGTGGCACTGGAGCACTCGTCGTCGCTGCCGTATTTGGGGCTGGACACCAGTGTGGCGCTGCCGCTCAGCGCCCGCGACGCCTCCTCGGGGTGCCCGTCGTCCAGCGTGTCCTTCAGGTGGGCGATGTTGTCGGCGCTGCCGAATTTGTTCCGGATCAGGCTGGCGAACTCCCGGGGCTTGGAGACCACGGCGGTGTGGGTGGCTTGGGACAGCCCCGAGAGGCCTCCCTTGACCCCCTCCACCACGCCGCCGCCGAAGCCGCTGATGCTGGAGCGCACGTTGGCGCCCACGTCCTTGAGACCTTGGTGCATGTCCCGGAAAACATCCTTGGGCTGCCGGGACGGGCCGTTCTGCTCGATCTCCTTCAGCTTCTTGTGGTAGTGCTCGAGCTTCTTGTGCAGCTGCGCGATCGTCTGCGCCGACTTCTGGTTCTTCTTCTCGAAAACCTGCTTGATGCGGGACGCCTGCTGCTTGTCCGCGTTGTTGGCCAGCTTCAGGTACTCGGCCACGTTGTCGTCCCGCGCCTCCTGCTCGATCTTGATCTGCTCGGTGATCTTGAGGATCTTCTGGTGCAGGTGCTCGATGGCAGCTTTCGTCCGGTGGGGGTCGGGGGTGCCGTCGGGGACGTCCAGGCAGATGGGGCCGTCGGCATCGCCGTGGCCGGTGGCAGCGGGCAGGCTGAGCGCGGTCACGTCCCCCTTGTCCAGCTGCGGGCAGAGACACGAGGGCAGGGCTCAGCGGGGGACAAACCCGAGGAGCCCCTGGGGATGGGGAGCCCCGAGCACCACGGGGGTGCACGGGGGGAACGGGAGCAGCGGGGTGGGGAGGAAGGAGCAGGAGAATGGTTAACAGGGAGGAGGTTTGGAGAAAGTGGGTTTATTTTGTGTTTTTATTTTTTTTTCCTGGTTGCTGGAGCGTTTTCCAGCCGTGCAGCTACTGCAGGCATCCCAGGAATAAGCCAGCTGGAGGACGCAGCACCAAATTAATTATACTTAAGGGCTGGTTTGGGCTTTCAGCGAGGAAAATGCACCGCTGGGAGCTCAGCTCTGGCTTTCCGTCCTCGCTCGGAGCAGAGACACCCGCAGCTAAGGCTCTTAGCCTAGACACGGAGCGGAGCCATCCAGGAAAGGAGAAGCTTTGCCCTAGCCCCTGACTCAGCTCCCGAACCCTCGGCAGCAGCAGGCGGGATGCTCGGAGCCCCCCAGCTGCCTTCTTTCCCTGGGGTTTCTCCCCTGGCATCGCTACACCCCTCTGCAAACGCGTGCTGCCACCTACCAGCGCGTTTCGAGATGGACAATTTTAGCTGGGAAAAAAAATCCACCTGCCCGAGGCCGCTCTTCAAATCCCAAATCCTCCAAGCCAGCCTCCGGCCCCGCGCTCACCAGCCCTCGCCGCCCGAAAATCCCAAATCTTCCCCTGGCTGGGCTTTACAGGCGGATTCCTATGCAAATCTCCGCGGTTGTATAAATGGCTCCTGGCTTCTAATTAAGAGCTGCTTGAAAGTTAAATACTGTTGGCAGCCCTGAATAATTTCTCATTTCCATCACACTTTCCCCGAATGACCCTTTAATAGGGATAATGCTGCGAGATCGTCACGCAGGGGCGTGTTATCACCAGGAAATGCCTTGTGCAGGAGGGAGGGATGCTCTCCAGGCGCTGTGTATCCACAATCCCATCTGTGATGAGTCCCAGGCAGGGCTCGGAGAAGCACTGAAAATGTTTTTTCCCTCCCGTTGCTGCTGCATCTCCTCCCCCCTCACTGCTCAGCGGGTCTGCGAGGCGGCTCTGCCTGCCTCCGTGGCTCTGGGGTGTGTGTAGGGTGGAAATGAGGTAGGGTTTGCACTTGCAGGGGACCACCGGGACGTTGGTGTTTCATGCAGGGGTCTTCTTGGGATGGTTTGAGCCTCGCAGCTGGGCAGGGAGGGAGCTCAGGCACCCCCCAGCCCCTCTGCTCCTCTTCTCTCTCCGTTACTGATCTACCGGGGCAGGGAGGATGCGAGCAAAGGGGAAGGACAAGCAGCCCCCAGCCTGCAGAGCTGCAAGTGGCTTCATCCCTGGTGGACCAGCATTTTCTGAAAAAAAACCCAAAGCACCCACCCAGCAAAGCTGCAGGCTTTGCAGACTGCTCCGGGCTGTCCTCGGTCACCCCGCTGCAGCCCGCAGCCCACGGAAGGGTTTCGCTTTTGTTTCTTATCGAGGGGCAGAACTTGGAAGCAGCAGGAAATTGCTTCTTTTTTTTTTTTTCCCCCCAGATGCACAACGAACAAAACCACCCTTAGAAAAGGAAGGCGGCCCTGGAGAAGCCGAAACGGGAACCCCAAAGGGGGCCAACAAAGCCAGGAAGGCTTCGTCTCTACGACGTGTGGGGTTATCGCGGCGGAGCCTCCTGTTCCGCTCATCCTGAAGCTGAATTTGTTATTTCCATGCATTTTCGAGGCACATCGGGTACAAGCCCACAGCACGAGCCGTGCCGGGGAGCTGGTGCTGGAAGGAGCCAGGCGAGCAGAGCTTTCGGGAGATACCTGCGGGGATCTGAGCTGTGCACCAAAGCAGCGGTGACGGCGGGGAGGTGAAGGAGCCCTTGTTCGTGGGGTGCTTCAGGGGGGTGCAAGGACCTCCAGAGCACTGCTGCCAGGCTCCCTGGGTTGCCTGCGATTTGCTTAATTAGGGAAATTGCTTAAAAGGCACGGCTGGAGAGAGGTGGGGAGACGCCAGGCGTTTCCCAGGGGGTTCAGAGAAACAGGGGAAGGTTTGGGAAGCACCGAGCCCCCTCTTCACAACTGCCCCAGCTGCGCCTGACCTCGTGCGGCGCTGAGCTCCTGCAAATCCACTCTTTGGGATTTATTTGTGGGAGTGTATTTGGGAGCACGGGGGGAAGGGAGGGCAGGGTGGCGGCGAGCGGCACGGCCCCGATGCTGCCCATCTGCGCTGACGTGGCCGGGGTGAAATCCCTTCCCCAGGCACCACAGAAAGCTCTGCCCTGTGTGAGGGCAAATCCTCCGGTAACCCCAGCAGGTTCTTGCTGTGAAAGCAACAAAAACAACCAAAAAAATAATAATAATAATAAAAAAAAGCCAACACAGACCTCTGCAGCATTAACAGGCGGTGCCGGCTAAATCCCAGCAAGCCCAAATGACTGTGCAGCGGATTTACCGGGGGGATTAGCAAAAGCCACACTTTCCCTACGTGCAGAAAACATTCTGGTAGGCACGCTGAGATGGAACCGTTCAGCTCCCCCAGCTCAGTCTCCAGGCACGCTCGGAGGGGAGAGCAGGGGCTGATGTGGGATGCAGGAGGAATGCAGGACGCGGGAAGAAAAATGCTTCTTATCACCAGAGTTCAGCCCAGGAGAGCTGAGATATGCAGAAAGGCTCAGGCTAATAAGCTGAGCAAACAGGACTCGGAGGGCTACAGGCGGGCACGGTTACGCAATGCCGCTTTATTTGCCGCTGTGGGTTTGGTGGAAGAGAGCCCAGGTGGCAGGTGAGGAGCTCGGGGCCAGGAGCTGCCCCGTGGGCTCGGGGGGGCCGGGCTGCAGCCGTGTCCCCAGCGCGGGGCTCTGGGTCAGCCGGCACGCCCATGGGCTGGAAGGGAGTGAAACCCGTTTTGAGAAATCGCAGAATTGGTCCAAAGTTGAGCACAGAACTCTCGGGAGGCTTCCTCGAGCTCCTGGCTATTCTGCTTTCTGTATGCTTACAGCCCCCCCTTATTCCTCGGGGGGCTCCAAGCACTTTACAAGCATAATTCGGGATCCTCCCCGTGCGTTCGGCACCGCGCTCAGCCCAGCACGGCACGGGGACGCTCGGGATGTCCCCAGCCTGTGCCATCCCCATGTGCACCCCCAGCCCTTTGCCTCCCGGAGCGGAGCCGCTATTCCCACCACGCTACCCAGCCCAGGAGCTGAAAATAGAAGCAGGAGCCCTGACTCACACTTCCCACTCTCCTTTCAAGCCCGCAGCACAGCGCGAAGCGGGCAGCCCTGTACCCCTTGCGCCCTGCCTGCTGGCCAGCACCAGCCCTGGCTGCACAAAGGGGAGGGCAGCAGCTGCCCCCGCACATTTCCCAGCCTGAAAATATTTTTTAATTACAGGGAAGCAGCACAGTAAGGATTTCGGTTGACAGCAGAGCTCCCCACCCTGCCCTTGCTGCTCCGGCACAGATCGCACCTTGGGCTCCAGTCACCCGGACACGTGTCCGGGTCCTGCGGGCAGCACCAGGAAAGAACCACCGAGAGAACCTGAATTTCTCTCTGCCCCCCTCCCCGCGATGCTATTCCAACCCGAAGGACCACAGGACCTACCTCCATGGCGGGCAGGGTCAGGTCCCCCAGGACTACTCGGCGCGGGCTCTCCAACCGCGTCCCCACCGTGGCGCAGCGCCTGGCCGCGATGCGCGGGCTGCCATGGCCGGGAGCAACGGCAGCCACGGGATTTAGGGGCAGCAGCGGGGGGGACGAGGGGGCTGCGGCCCCTGTCGGAGCCCCCAGCCCGATTTCAGGGCTGCAGCCCCCCCGGCAGAGCCGTCCCCGCGGCCCCACGAGCTTTGCAGGCGCGCGGGCAGCGAGCGCAGCATCGGGGCTGAGCTGTGTGCCGCGGGCTTGCCGACTCAGTAAATCCGCCCGAGCTGTTTACAGCTCTCACCGACTGTAGCTCTCAGGGCTGTAACGCAAGAAACACCCCTCATCCATCCCCCCCCTCCTCCCCAGCGGGAGCTTCACACCGCCTCCAGCCCCGCCACGCTGCCTGTGCCCCGCCATGGGGTGCTGAGCCGCTCTGCCACCATCTGCGCCGTCACAGCCCGGGACGCGAGGGTTGGGGAGAACCCGGCTGAGACGCACACAAAGCCAAATTCCAGGGGGGAAAAAATACAACATAGAAAGCAGGGAGCAGCCGCCGGCCGCATCCTGCAGCCCAGCACCGGCTCCGATCGAGGCCAAGCTCGTTGGATCCTCACCTCTCCGGGGTGAGCCCCGCTGCGGGGGGGTCTCCAAGGGGGAACGGGGGCAGCGAAAGCTCCGCGCTCTCTGCCTGCGTGTTTAACGCCCACGGCTGCCTGCGAGTGCAGGGCTTGCTCTCCGCTCCCTCCCTGCTCTCCCTGGGGGCTCCGTCCCCAGCTGAGCGTGGGCACCCACCGCGCTCGGGGCTGGCTCTGCGTGGTAATGCAGGCTCGGGGCTGGGGGCTTCCGCTGGGAAATATTTTGGAACGAAATCCACCACGTTCGGGAATCGCTCTCAGCTTCCAGAGCCCCAGTTTTAGCACGGCAGGAAAAAACACCAGGACCTCACCACCTGCCCCCGGAGTCACTTCAGGGCTGTGGTGCTGGGGACCCTGGTGCTGGAACCCCCTTTTTGGAGGTTTTTGCAGGAGCAAAGCAATTTTTGCACAGTGCCTGTGCAAACAGGCGCCGTGCAGACACGGCACAACCACAGCCCCCGGTGCAATGCCACCTTGCGCTGTGCCAAAAGCCATACAGCAGCCTGGGAGGGTTCCCGTAGCCCAAACCAAAAAAAAAACCACGGCCACCAAATGGGTTTGGGAGACAGAAAGCCAGGAACCAGCCAGCTCGGAGTGACGGGAAAGCTTGCACCGACTGTGGGAGCCGCTGCCACGGGAGGAGGCAACGCCGAGCGCAGCCATTCCGCCCACTCGCCAGCTCCAGGTACTTGATACTCGGCTTTCTCTCGGCCGTGATTCCCCCACGTGCAATTAAAGCGGTATTAAATGGCACAGCTGAGAGGCCGGCAGGGCTGTGGCAGGCTCGGGTACCGCAGCAGCTGCTGGCAGCCTGCAGTCCCCGTCAGCCACCGCTTTATGCCAGGGCCGGCGCAGCTTGTGCTGGCCAAAGCCAAAGTCCCGGGCGAGGAAGGAGACCTGGAGCCTGTTCCCAGCTCCCAGGACCGAATACGAGCGGTTGAGGGAAGCAGAATTCGAGCCCAGAGCCTTATCCTGTGCCAGCCCAAAGCCCCGAGAGCACCGTGATGATGCTGGGCTTGTCTGCGACCTCCAACCACCTGCAGCCACAACCCGAGCACCTGCACGGCTGCAGCGCCAAGCGCCAAGGATTCAGCTGCGGTTCTCCGGTCAGGCTCTTTTTCCAAAAAAAAAAAAGGCATAAAGACAACAAGAGCTCGGGAAGGATTTCGAGCCACGCATTTAATTGTACGGGCCAGGGCGATGAGCTGATCGTGACCCAGATCCATGTTTAATGGGGATGGTCGTTCTGTTCCCACAGCCGAGGCGAGCAGACAGCCCGCAGCACGGCTCAGCCTCGCCTCCCGTCATCTCTCGGGCTGTCCCTGCGTCTGTCCCTGCCCTGGAAGCTCATGGTGCCACCTCCGAGGTGCTCTGGGTGCAGACGTGGGCTCTGGCAGGCTAGAGAGGAGGGTGGCTGCGGGCTGCCGGTGCTCCCGGGCTGCAGGACCGCGTGTGGCTGCAGATAAGGGAGCAGCACGACAGGAGGAAACGGGCACAGGGGCAGGGACGCGTTTCCCGGAGCCACCCTCAGCACATCCTCCTGCACCAGCACCGTGCCCACAGCCCTCCGTGCTGCGAGGCTGCCAAAGCACAATTCAGCACCCCGCTAAATCCCTTGGTCCCTCCGAGGGACCCGCTGCGACACCGGCACGGTGCATGGCACCCCGGGGACAGCCCCAGCAGGGCTGGCAGGCGTTTTGGGGAGCCGGTGCTCGAGGGTGAGGAACAGACGGGCTGAATCCAGCCCCCAGCAGCACCGCTCGCCCGTTCTGCCTGCCTGAACAGCTCGGGGCTCCTACCCCGAGGTTGGGAAGTGGCCCTGGAGGGGACCGCTCGGTCCCCACGCCCCAGCCCCAGGACGCGCAGCCCCACACCAGCTGAGTGCCTGGGGACACAAGGGGGGGACCCTGCAGGCCACAAAACCCCTACGGGTGCTTCCTACACCCTGCACCGTCAGCAGCCCCCGTATTTCTCAGGTCTGTCCCCATGGATTTTGTAGGAAAAACTTCCTCCCTGCATCTTGCTGCGTCGGCACGAGCAAGCTGCGTGCGTGCCAGCACCGTGCCCGAGGGGCAGCAGGTTCCACGGATCCCTGAGAAGCGCCGATTCCCCCCCTAAATTGAACCCCCCAGGAGCAGAAACCAGCTGTGCCTACCATAGGGGGCCGAGCCCTTCTTCTGAGGAAGAATCTGCCCTCCCCAAGGCAGGTCCTGCAGCCGGGCCGAGCCCCAGGCAGCGGATGCCTGGGGACGTGACACATCTCCTATTAGTGGGGCACCGTCATCTTCGGCTCCAACACCTCCTAATGCCGCTTCTCGTTTTAGCACAGCAGCCCGAGGTCACTTCCCATTGCTCTTCCGTGGCCTCAGCAGGGCAGGAAAAATCCCCGGGTGCACGAGGAACTCTGGAAACCCCCTCGCTGCTCGGTGCCGGACTTCGCCTTTCCCTGGGTTAAAGCACTGTGGTCGGGGAGGAGGGGGCTCCTCGGGGCTGTGCCCCCCTGGTTCAGAGGAACCCACCTGCGTGCAGCTCCTCAGCGCACGGGGAAGGCCGGCAAATAATGGAAGCAGTGGGGATGCAGCCTATAAATGCCCCGCAAAGCCAGCTGAGGCAGGGCTGCAGCACCTCCATCCCCAAGGCACGGCTCCCTCCTGCACGGGTGAGAAGCCCACGGCACCCTCGAGCCCCGGGACAGCTCGGGCAGCCTGGCTGCCACCCCCGGGGGGCTCGGCACAGCCCCAGCTAGAAGGAAAAGGGGGGAGATGGGCAAGGAAATTACCCGAGATGCCGGCGGCGGCGGACTCCCCTTCATCCTTAGCACTGGTTCTGCTGAGGAGGGTTGAGTCGGCTGCTTAGAAAGTGGGAGCTAGGGTTTTTCAGGCCTGCCTGCAAGCAGCAAATTTAGAAATAAATAAATCCCGGCTCCCGTGCGAAGGAAATCCCTGGATCGCCACAAAATCTCAGCGCGTTTGGTGCCTGCTGGGGCTGCGTGGTGCAGAACCCAGCCCCGACTGCCTACCGCAGCCCTGCCCGAGCACCTCAACCCACAGACGGGTCACCCAGCACCGACACACGGTGAATTTGGGGCTCTGGCTCTGCCTTTCCTGGCTGTGCCTGAGCTTAGCAGAGAAGCGAGGACAAAAGCAGAGAAGCAGCAGCCGAGCTGTGCGGCGGGGTGGCCGTGCCGGGGCTGGGGAAGCTGCAGGCGGATTCTCGGGAGCTGGGATGCTGCTGGAGCCGAACCCTTCCTCACCCTCGCTTCCCCCGATGTGTTTGGAGTCCAAAGCAGGAGACCTGCCCCAAAGGGGACCTGAAAGCTTGCGACCGGACCCTAGGAGCCAGCCAGCCCCGCGCACATCCTGACCCAGCACCCAGGCACTGCCCCGCTCCTCGCCCCCTGCGCACCCCGAGGGCCTCGCCAGCACCCGGAGGCTGGAAGGAGAGCGGGGGGGGGGGTACTTACAAAGACACTCAGCAGGGAATTTAAGAGCAATATCCTCTTCCCAGGGCAGGAGTCGGGAGGATGAGGTTCGGGCATGAGGGTGCCCTGCTCGCTTCTGCAAAGGGCTCGCTCTCCCTCTGCCATGGCTGCGGTTAAGGAGCGGAAAGGGGCAGAGGAAGGCGCGCCGTGCGCTTGCAGAGGAGGCTCCGCGAGGCTGAGAAGCAGCCAAGAACAGGCAGCGCGGGGCTGGCGAGCGGGGAGGGAGCCCAAAGAGGGGAGAGGCAACGGGCTGGGAGCCGCAGGGGCCGGTCCCAGCGCCGAGCACAAGCGGCACCGCCGTGCGCTGCCTCGCCACGCTGCCCTTGGCACCCAGGGGACACCAGCTGGGCACAGCGTGGTCACCACGAGGGGCTCCTCTGCTCGGACCACCCCTCACAACTAGGGTCCTGGCTGTGCCGGGAGAATTTTGGGGGAAAATTCTGGCTGTTTTACCGGAGGGAAGCACCCCGGGAGCTCTAGGGGTGGTGCTGCCACTTCTCCGGTTGGGTCCCGCGGTGTGAGAGGTGCCAGCAGCAGCCCCAGCCCGTGCTGCAGCTGGATGTCGGTGCTGCTGGTGGCTGAGCCGGTGCTCGTGCTGCTGTGGGGGATTTGCAGTGGCTTATATGGGCAGGGTTTGTGGGGGGGTGTAGGGAGAAGGGGACGCAGCAGGGTGAGGAGTCCGGAGGCAGGACCCTGCTCTGCCCATCCTGACTCAGCCTCCAGGAGCCCAGTTCTGCTCCCGGCCCCACCGCAGCCTCCAGCTGCTGCTTCTGAGAGGCCGTGGGATGGACACAAACCCTCGCCCACCCCATCCGCCCCATCAGGTCACCCCTCCCCACCCCAGCTGCCTCCCGGGGCAGGCGGCAGCGTGCGTTTGGCATCCCCTGCCTGTCGGCGAGCAGGAGCCGGGGGTGGGCTGGAAACAACAGCCATATGTCAGAGAAGGCTGAGGAACACGATGTCTTTTGCTAGGGGGTGAATCAGTACGAGAGCCTGATATTCTCCTTCTCCTGAATTAATTAAGCAGCAATCCCGGGTGTCTTTGTCTTCCCAGCTATTATCTGCTCTTCCCCAACCGCTCCGCAAAGCGCCAGCCCGATGGAGGGAGGCGACGAGCCCCCCCCACTGCCACCAAGCAGGGACTGTTGTTCCCCTGTGGCACGTGGGGACAGGGACATGGGGGCCAGCACTTGCCCACGTCCAGCTCCGGGGTCTTGGTTTGCCGAGGAGCTCAGCAGCTCCTCCTGAGAGCCACGGCACTCGTGGGGCCGCACGGAGGCGTCGCCGCTCCTGAAGAGGTGCAAGGAACTTCACCGTGCGCACGGAAGCGTTGGCCCCGTTCCCAGCTGGGGAAACTGAGGCAGGGAACCAGGAGAAACCCTACCCAAAGCTCCCAGCAGCATCCCCCTGCCCGAGCCACACCACCCGTGCCATCCCCGTGCACAAAGGATACTCCAGAAGCGCCGTGGAACAAACCCGGCTTCCTAGCAGCAAGCTCCTGGCACCGCGGCATCTCCTGCTCAGCGCCCCCAAGGCTGGGCTGCGCGGGGTCCCCGCCGTCCCTCCGCCCGTCCCAGTTGTCCCAGTTGTCGACTGAGACAAGTTCTGGGTAACCGGAGCCGTGGGAGGCGAGCGAGCCGTCCGTCCCCTCCCCGCCCTGAAACCCAAGGCGCTGGGATGCCAGCGGAGCCCAGCCGGTGCCAAGCAAAGGGGAGCTGAACTTTGCCTGAGTGCCCCGAGCAGCGGGGCGAAGGCTGCCAGCACCCGGCTGCTGTTCGCCTGCTGGGGCCACCCGGAGCCCCCCCCAAAATCCCCTCTGTGTCCCCAAGCCAGTGGAACCCCCAGGGTAGGTGCTCAGGGGACGCTGGGGTCTCCAACCGGCCTCACCCTGACACGGCCACGCACACGGTGGGCACCTAAAGAGAGCGGGGGGAATCCTGTGCCTCTGAGGACACCGGGGATCGGGCTCCAAGGACCGACCCCCCCACCCCAAAGCAGCCACCCCGAGCCTATAAATACGCGAGGCTCCAGCCACGAGCCTGAAGCCGGGACGTGCACAAGGAGCCCCCCGTTGCCCCCCGCTGTGTCCCCGCTGTCCCACGGGGGAAGCATCTGCGCCGGGAGGGCTCGGGGGGGTCTGGCAGTGGTGGCAGCTGGTGCTGTCACTTCCCTGGGGACAGTGAGGACGGACGGATGGACAGATGGACGGACGGACACCCGCGTGCCACCCGTCACCACGCACGCCGCTGCGGTAACGCTGCCCTCTAACGGCACCATCCAGCCCCCAGTTCCCCCCCTTGGCCCCCTCCCAGCCCCACTGCCCCTGTGTTTTTTTTGGGGGGCTCACCTGGCCGTGCCCCATCCCGCAGGCCCCGCAGGTTTCCACGCAGCTCCCCGGCAGCACCATGCCCCCAGCCCCTCCGCGGTTCCCCCCGGGGTGCTCTGACCCCACCAGCACCGGCTCCCGGTGCTGACCCCGCTGCCAGGGGGGGGCTCGGAGCCCAAGGGGGGGCCCCACAGCCGCTGCTGGCTGGCTCGGTGGCTGGCCCCGGTGGTAATCACCTCCTGTCCGCCTGCCCGGTGCTGGCGGGTCACCAGGAGGAGATTAGTGAGATAAGGGGGCAGCTCTCCAGCACGCCCCCGTTGCCGCCTGCAGCCTCCCTTTGCCCCACTGCTGCTGCTGCCACCCCCACGTGTGCCACCACGGCCGCAAGTCGTCACCTCCTTGCATTAAAAACCCAGCAGCACATCCCAGCTGAGGCACGAGGGTGAACCCCAAAAATGCCTGGGGGAGCAGAGGAGCTGGAAACCCAGCGGTGCGCCCCGCAGGGCTCCCCCAGGACACCCGAGGGGCTCCGTGGGGAGCAAAATCTGGGCTCAGGGAAGCCTTAGAGGTCAGGCAGATGGACTAGGTGACATCTGAAGGTCTCTTCTGAGTGAAATGTCCTGTCCTATCCTGTCCTATCCTATTCTCCTGTATCCTATCCCAAACCCCTGGGCACGCAGGGCACAGCTGCAGTTCTCAAAGCAGCCCCAAGCCGCAGAGCCGCGGGTCCCAAGCCGTGTGCCACTGCCCGCAGGAGGCAGGGGACAGCTCTGCCACCTCCCCCTGATCCCACCCTCACCTCTGCTGCTTTTTGTGCCCAACAGGGACGGCTGGAGGCAGCCACAAGGATGTGCACTGCAGGTGGGGGCAGCCCCGCAAAGCGGAGCCTTGTCCCCAGCCGTGTCCCCTGCCTGTGGTGCACGGTGACGGTGCCAACCCTTCTCTTGGGGGCCTGAGCACGGCCCCGTGTGGCTCCGGTTACTGTTCGGGCTGCTGTGCCAGGGCACGGGATGGCTCAGACAGCGTGGGGGCACACGGGACAGCTCTCCAGTTACACCGAGCCCCAGCCAGAACCAGCACCCGGTGCTGAGCACCCAGACGGTGCCGCGGTCCTGTCCCCGTGCCCCCCCAGGCAAAGCCTTGTCCTTGGCAGCTGCCTCCGGTGGGGAGGACACGGGAGGGGGGCTGGGAGCTGGTGGGGACCGTGGGGACTCAGTGAGGAACCAGCTCAAAAAGGTGGGGAGAGCAAACCCGGCAGGAGCCTAATGGGAAAAACGAAACGAAAAGGCGAGAGCTGCTCAAAAACTGAGGCTGAGCAATTCCACGAGGGATTAATCCACCGCGCTCAGGTGGGCACGGAAAATTCAGCATGAAGTTTCTGGGGGAAAACGGCTTTTCTGCAAGGGCCCTCGCTCCCCTGGGGCTCCGGCTTCCAGTCCGAGGGTGAAATGGGGCCGTGGTGCCCTTGGTGCTGCCACGTCCCCCCTGCGGGTGTCTGTGGGCACGCAGGGGCTGGTTTGGCCCTTGCAGAGACGAGGGCTTCCTCCCAAGCCCCAGGAAGGTTTTCCTCCTGCCCACAGGGATTGATTTTCAATAGCGTGCAAGTGCCAAACGCTTTTATCATCCTGCAAGGCTCCTGCGGGCCCCGGGACCTCAGTGGCTGCTGGATTTGTAGCTGAAGGAAGGGGAAGTATTTTGGCCAAGGCCAGGTGAGGCCGGAGGGCTCGGCACCCTCTCTGGCCACGGTACCCACGGAGGGATGGAGGAGGCAGACGGAGGGGGCAGCGGGCAGGAGGCCGGCCTTCCTTTGGGCCCTGGAAAAATAATATGGCACGAGAATATCACGTAGCTCTTGTTTCTCTAAATAGCTCTTTTTCCACTGCTCCACAAAGGCGCCAGCATTGCCTCTCTCCTTACTACTCTTTGTGCCATATGCAGTTAATTATTCATCCCTTTATTGCGCGCTTTGTGCTGCTCCGTGAGCAGTCCCGGACCCGCTCTGCTCCCCCTCCCCAAGGTTTTGGAGCTGCTCCGGCTCCAAACTTCGTCTGCAACCGCAGGGGGACCAGCAGGACCGGGCTCCTCGCAGGGCAGAAGCCAGGGGCCATGTGGAAGAAATTTGGGTTTTCTGAACCTGGCCCTGCACTGGCACAGCTTGGAGGAGAGGGAGCGGGGAGGAGTGGGGCTGCTGGGACACGGGCAGGCGGTCCCGGTCGGTAAATGAGGAGGAGGAGGACCTAAAGAGCTGGTTCCTGTGACATGTCTCCCCTCTGGGGCCAGATTCCCACGTCCTGGAGGTGCCCCCGGCCCCACGCCACTGTCACAGGGACCGGCGCTGGCACCAGCCGCCAGCGTCAGCTGCAGCCCGAGGCGGCGGAGCAGAAAAAGCCGAGCGAAAAGAGAAAGAAAAAGGATCTGGTTAGCATCTTTCCATTACCTCACGGGGCAACGGGAGTCTCCGGGTCAGATTGCCCTCTCGGGCACTGAGCGCCAAGGGGAGAGGAGCAGCCTCGGGGGGCCCTGCTCCCCGGGACCTGACACCCCCTCCGCTAGCGCACCCCAAAGCTCTGCCCAGCCGCCTTCATCCTATTACAGAGCTATTCCTGGCCGTGCAAAGCATCTTAGCCGTGTGCTGCCACCTCCCTCCCGCGACCTGCTACCACTGCCCTCCCTCTTTTGGTGCTGCTGAGCCCCCCAAAACTCAGCCGCTCGCCCAACAACACAGGCAGGGGCTGCCCGAGCCCGCCTGGCCACGTCCCTGCCCCGATCCACAGCTTT